ATGGAAATCTGTTCTTTTACAGTCACATCTGCATTTTCCAAGGTGTACCTGAATCTTCAGCCAGCTAATTCCCTAGAGACTGGAGTGGGGTCCAGTGTTCCTGACTTGGAAATAGGCATCTTTAAAGAATCACCATAGTAGCTCCTTTCACCTTGCTTAGGTGGCTAAACATAAATGGGACAGGACCTCTCTCTGAAGACTGTAAGCAGCACTTAATTCTCCTGCTGGCTGTACAGGTTACCAAGATACTTGAAGAAGGGTGTACTGTGAGTCTGAAGTACATGGACAAACAGGATAGCTCCTCCACCTGGTTTTTCTCAAGTGCTGAGCCACCCATGGGGCTATGGACCATATGACCATTAAGCACTTTTGAAGATCAGATTTTAAGTATTTTAGAATAGACTTCAGAAAACAGAGGTGGATAAATGATAATTTATGAAAATGTAAGTCTTATTCGTAGAGAACAAAGAAGTTTGAAAATGACATGACATTAAAATCAGTCTTTGGGAGACAACATTTCATCTACTGATGAAAACCTGTGACGATCACCTCTTTTTTTTACTTGCTAAGCTTTAGCAGTATCTAGAAATAAATCATACTAAATAATCTAAACATTGTCTACACGGGACTGAACCTGAACCTTGTTTTCCTCTTCGTGGGATTTTTTTGAGATTAATTTTCTGTTTCTGCTATTGCTCGGAACACTGAGAAGTATTTCCTGTGAACTCTTCCCTGATGAAGGACCTGGAAGTTAAACTTCTGGGATGGATGGCAACTCCTCCCCTTCAAGACTAGATTTGTTGCTTCCTCTCGGACTGTCAAGGTGGTTTTTTTTCCTCTAGTATTAGGAATGGAAACATTTATGCATTTTACAACTTTTCCTTGTTGGACTGTGTATAGGATAGTGTCAAATTAACCATACCAGGGACTGAAATAATCTTCTTTTTTTTTTATCCCCAAAGCCTCAGTGTATAAAAAATGGTAACCACTGTCACTCCACTCATGGATCTGAACGCTGACTGTTTACTTTCTGTGCCTTCTCCATGCCAGCCCAACCTAACAAGTCTACGTGTACCACTAAAACCACAGCACAGCTATGAACTGGAAATCCTAGTACACTGGATAGAATCTGTCAGCGGAGGATACAGGGTGTGTGTGACACAGCTCTGCAAACACTGTACATAAGGCATTGCAGGCTTACAGAGCTTTCCAAGTGAAAACTGAGACAACAAAGCCAATGCCTCCTCTTCCTTGAGCATGCAGCTCAGGCTGTGGGAAGTTAGAAATCTATCCATTATTCTTCTAAGCCAAAAAAGCTACAGTCTCTACCTGTGCCTGCTTTTCAGAGAATAAAAATCTATCTGACAAGAGAGACCAACAGTTCAAAGAGTTCAACTCCTCTTGTATTAGCTGTTAATAAATGGACACAATGTTCCTGCTCTGGCAAACTGAATGCCACATAAACCTTCAATCCTTATTTTTTATAGGATCTTGGGAATCCCAGGACACACTGGATGCTGCAGATTAGTTAGCCTGTCTCCCCAGTAAATTCAACTGACTGCAAGAGTTCCAGCTCTTGCTTTTCGTACCTTACAGAAAGGACCTCTGAAATGAATAAGGCCTTCTCATTGCTTTCATTGGAAGCAGGATCAAGCCCACTGCAGAGAAGCTTCTGGGTACCAGAACTCTGACTGTCAAAGCTACATTGGTTTATTCTGTCCACCTGCTCTGCCTTTCTGTTTAAACACAGTATGTGGGCTAGCCTGAAACCCTTTTGCAGAAACATCTCTCTAGCATAACTTGCCTTACTAGATTTAATTTTCTGTGCTTCCCATCTCACTGGCTTGTGGAATAATATTGCATTTTTCAGGATAAAAAAGACGGACAGAACCTTTAAACTTTGTGTTGTTAAAAGACTGGTTTCTTAGAAAATTACACTACGACCTTCAGACAGGACATATTGCTTGATTTGGTCAATGAAGTTAACTGAGTAGTTGCAGTTGCTGCTGCAGTTTTTTGGCTCTGAATGGCCCAGAGAAACAGGCAATGTCTGTCAGACACTGAGTGGCACAATGAAATTTGTGAACACTACTCTTCTTCTTAAGCAACACACCTGAAGCTGGCACCCTGAAATTCCTTAAATTTGGGCTAGTTTTATGCCGCAGATGATTCTGACAGTGTCCTTAGAAGCAGCTTCATTTAGGTTTCATTACACAGGCATATTAATGTTATAGCCTTGGTTAAAGCTGAAGAGCTTGCTCACTCATGATGGGACTGGAGCTTGTAGGAAGCATTTATTGCGCACACACTGCTTAGGGCAGCCCCACTACTGACAGCAGGTGGAGGATTATTTTCTGACTCCTCCACTTCTCTCCACTTCCCAGCTAGGAATTTATCAGGGATTGCTGCAAGTGGGAAATCAGTGCCTGTGCACTTCATGGCTTCTGGTCCTCCATGGGTGTGGCACGTCATTAGGTGACCACACCAATCCCCAACTCTGGATGAACCTTCTGTCAGTGCAGTTTATATTCTGCCAGTTTACATTCCTGTTGAGCAAAATTAGGCAGTGAAGGACGTTTTCATGTTTTTGCTGATACAGTCATAGTTGGACTAAATATATTGACTACTGCTGCATCTGCAGTAAACATATTGCCTTCTTTCCCCATTAATGCAAATGATAATACTTCTTTTCACCTCTCCTTACTTACTGTACTGTAAACATGTAGCTCTAAAATACACAACTCAAATTACTTGGTTACACTGTTTCTCAAGCAGTCAGGTAAGTGCTGCTGCTTTTTCTTAAGTGCGATGTGATGCTTGCAATTTCCTTGTATTACAACACAAAATAGTGTCTCTCCGTAGGCCACCAATTCTTTGTAAGTAATTGTATAGATATGTTAGAACACAGGAAGAAATTGCTGAAGGTTATGCAGTGGGATTTACCTGCACTTCAAAAAAGGCTGTGCAGGTGCAAGATACTGCAAAGTGACGATCATATTATACTGTCAACTGTATGTTCACATGTTTTTACTAGCATATGTGTTTTAATGGGACAAAATAAAGATTGCATTGACCCAGTATCTTTGTATTACAAAGATTAACACAAACTTTTTATAATTTTCCTTTCATAAAAACATTGTTTCCCCAAGGTGGTGAAACTCAGACAACCAGCATAACAGTCAGCCTACTATAGGCAAGTTTAATAAGTACTATAACTTTATAAAGATTACTGTATGTCTTCTAACATAAACAGGAGTGTGCAGCATATGTAATGAGGATAAAAATATTTAGCAGAGACTGACCTTCATTTTACGAATTTGTGAAGCCTGTAGGAATTAGCCAATATAGAGATCAATAAAATACTTCATGAGAATATAGATAGTGTCTGCTATGAGATTCCTGGAAGCTACCTCAAAGGCTAGCTGACCTTATTTTCCATACCACAAGCATGTATTTGTGGTTGCAGGAAATGTTCTTTTAAGCATGCAAGGTACTTAGTACCCAAGCACGCTTAGTATATAAGTACATTTCCAGGCATTCACTTTGGCAGCCAACAGAATGTCCCTTATGTAGCAGAATGCATACTCAGAAGCCATACAGCATATAGATTACCTCATGCACAGAGCAACCCCAGAAACTGCTTTTCCATCACAGCATGTATATATACAGACAGAAGGCTGGAAATGAGCCAGACACTGCAAGAATCTCTGAGAGATTATGGTGCAATAAAGTTCAGCCGCTACAGTGCAGCCACCCACATGCACAGAAGTTGGGCTATGCACACTTCCAGTGTGTTACTGCCTTCCATCAAGAAAAGCCTACTCTAGCTCATGTTTGTTCCCACTTCTTAATGGGACAGTTCAGTACCAGCCTGTTACTCAGAACATCATTGCATATGGTATCCCTAGGGCTGCCAAGGATGACTGAAAATACTGGAAGTGAACAATGGGAAAGACTCAATGATCATCTTCCTTACTCCTCAGACTTGACAAAAGCAGGGCTGAGGCACGCAAAAGAACAGCATTTTAAACAGAAGGTCAGCTTCTGTCATTTTGAGATTTGGTGCATACGTTTCATGTAACTAAGTTCTTTTCTTGTGCAAAATACACACAACAGATTATGCCACTGTAAACTTTCCCTACTTCACTATTCTTACGCCTCAACCTAACTAGGACCTGAACTTTTATGCCACAGGAAGTCTTAGCTCTCTTTGCTGAGATTACAAATACAAATACCAATTAGTTAAGCTATAAAATTCCATGTAGCAAGAAGACCTTTGAGAACCAAATCTGAAGGCTGATAATCACATGGAATGTAATTCAGTTTGGAAATCTTCAGCAAGAATTACTTTGAATGTTATAATTTACTAAGTAGACGCTGATGTTTTAAAAGCTTTATAAGATGTTATTTCACAGGATCGTACTACCATATTGCAATTCATTTTTAGGAGGTTAGCAGGCCCGTGGGAATGGTATGGTACTGAAGACTCCATAGACTGTCTGAAAACCAAGTATATGATGCTACTGTCTGCCAGCTGATTGGAAGTGAAACTATCAAGTTTCAGCCCAGCTCCACACATAACTGGTCCCTAAGCACCACTCATTCAGATACTCTTGTTTACAATCTCATGAGGAAATTTTGGAGCTGAAGGGCTGGAAGTCTGGTAATCTCCTCAGGACAGGGTGGTAAGGTGTAAGAAGGAAAGCTACAGTAGGAGAGCTTGCACAGGTTTGTTCTATGACTTCACTCTCCAGGGCTGTCAGACCCAGCACTTTTTGTATGAATTATTTCAAAAAACAAAGTCCCATCCCCTTTTCATTACCACATGTGTTTTCTAAAGGTGTTTCTATGTTAAAAGTAGAAATGAGGGAAAACCTCATAGCTCCAAGTATCTGAAACTTTAAACTCCAAGTGAATTTTCAGTCACATATATCTTTTGGTCTGAAGTTTTTGGGCAACCATATGAAAGATGATAAATCTAGAAAAAACCCGAGCCTTACCTTCTTGTAGAGACTTCTCAGGTCTCTGTACTGCCACATACTATTGAGGACCTGAGATGCTGCTTTCACCACTTTTGGCGAATGCCTGTTAACGCACATATGTTAAAAAGGGAGAGAGAGAGAAAGAAAGAGTGAGAAAGAGACTGTTAAGTACAAGACTCCATTCATCCCAATTTTCAAATGCATTGCTATGGATTTAAACCCCCGTTCAAAGCGTGTTTCAAATGTGCCACAACTGGCTGGCATCTTGGAGGCCAACGTGTTTTTAAGCAAGGGCAATACATGTTACTTCTACAGTGTTAATTATTCAGTGAGGAGCAAAACGTGTGCTCCTCAGCACACTGAGAACAAGAATTCATCCTAAAAGCATAGTAGGAGGAATGGGAGAGGTAGCAACTGGCAAAATTGTTGAGTACCTAACTGGTATTATGTACATCTAAGATGTCCTGGCTACAACTTCTGGCATAAAGGACAAGAAGTTAGAGCCAGAGTTTCTTTCTCTATAAGGTGCCAAACTTTTAACTCTTGATAGCATGCTCAATACATTAAATGCCTCTTAGCAGTGGCCAAAAGAAACACTCTGGTTGGGTGATGAGCACTGTTCTTGAAGTGCAGAGGCAAGATGCAGAAATACAACTCTTTACAAAAAGCCAGGAAAAGTTTCATTAGGAATCCAAATCAGGACTTGCTTCTTGCTCACACTATTAGCCTTTAATGACAGCAATACAGAGTTATGTTGAAAACCATAAATAACTTCACATGGACCTTCTCTTCAGAAAGGTTTCAAAAGAATCTCTAAACTATTGTTACAATCCCTTGCAGTCATATGCTCCTCTTGGAACAGGTAACTTTAAAAAAAATCTAACCCCCCAAAATTTAAAAACCAGGGAGTATACAGCCCAGTGAAGAAAGGCCAAATAGAAAAGGACCAGGAAGATAACCCAGCTCATTGAGGAAGCAAACACTGTGCTGTATCAATAATACACTTAAAGCAGTAGAGCGCTAGAAAATCTCGCAAAGCTCAAAGCCTGGAGCAAGGATTGGTGGATTTTGGGGCAGTCATTGAGATGATTTATGTTTTACTCAGAAAAGGCACATGGATTGCAAAACCAAAGAGAAACCAGAAAACCAGCAGTGTATGTTACCGGTTTTGGCAGGAGGTCTTCTCAGGGGTCAGGCTTTGTGGTGCATCCTGTGACTTCTGAGAGGACCACTAGTAGACCGGCACTCAAGCTGGTCAAGCAATGTTCATGACATAACTGATTCAACTAACTTACACAGTATTTTCCTGGGAATTTATTTGGTGCCTTTTTTTTTTCCCCTTTTCATCCATTTCTCACCCAGAGTACAGCAGTAGGTGGGTAATTGCTGAATAAACATGAATTTGATAAACTCTTTCAAACATAATTGCTTTTATTACATTCCCAGCTGTACTGCCTCGTGGGGTGCTGGTAGCATGGAGCAACTAGGAAAATAACCGCGCCAACCATACTGCGAGTACTGAGGAGAAACAGGAACTATGTGAAGCCAATATGGGCTTGGCCAGTATGACCTTATTAACACCAGTTCTCTTGTGCTGTCATACAGGGAAAGTGCTCAAGCCCTGGGCATGCTCCAAAAGCTAGCGGGGCCAGCCCCGCACTCCTGGCACTGATACATATACCAGGATGCATCCAGTCTAGTACTTTGCACTTGTAGAGGCAGCTGCTTCATACTGGACAATATAAATTCATACTGAAGTGTTTTACTGTATTAAAGTGAGCATGCCAAAATTTCCTATCAGTCCAACAGCCAGCAATTATGATTTTTAAACAATGGATTACCTATAAGAAACCAAACCAAAGCAATAGTGCAAGATACTAACATTTCTGAAAGCTGAAAAATGGAACATTCAATCAAAATGGGCATTTGTAGCACTGTGAGTTGATAGGTTTTCTTGTCCTAGAACTGTATAACATGGAACAGTAGTAACACAGGACCGCAACTCAGAAGTACTTGAAAGGAAGGATACATATCATGATTTTGGAAGGTTTTTTGGAATTACTCAATACTACCTGGGCTAAATACTTTCATTCAACACAGATAAGGCTTTCACAGTTATGAGGGACACTTAGACAGGGAATTATACCCTTGGATCCCCCTAAAACTGCCCACAATACTTTAAAAATTCAAGACTTAATGAGTATTAATTATCTCTACCAGATTATGAAAAGGTAGATAAATGCAGTATTACAAGGAAAGACAATTCAACTTCAATAAAATGGATATGAACCTGCTTGCAATAGTGGTACATCTGATCTAAAAAAATATAAAACAAAGTTTTAAATAGATTTAATAATAATAAAAAATGTAAATATAAATAAATAGGCACAACTGGTATCACATACTTTGTTACACTACTACTTTTTATCCCTTACAATTAGGAAGTGATAATGTTTCAATAATGAATTTGGTATGAAAAGGGTGACAATAGAGGAAAAGAAATGTGAATAAATTATCTTGGCAATACTCAATCACATAGGTGAGCATAAGTTCTCATACCAAATGTAGGGTGCATAAATCTTTCCTTCAGGGTGAAGGCTTTGTGAGGCCTGGCTCAGGCCTAGCTTTGTGAGGGTCTTTTATAGCTCTGATGCTGCAGTAGGCTGCGGGATGACAGCTTTGAGTAGGTGGACTGATGGGTTTTGTTCACTACTGTGAAGGCTTTTTGTTTTCAAACTGCCATAGTCCCATTGCACTATACTTCTGCAGGCTGACAAATATGAGAACTAGGCTATGTTTTAGGCAAAAGAAGGATAAAGGGTGAACTCTTCATGAAGAGTGCATACATAGGAAAACAGACAAGATGAAACCATAGCTGCTCTGAAAATATCACAGTCATGTGTAAGATTTTTGCATATTCTGGTGCCTCACAAAGTAGCCTGCAGTCATCCTAATGCTCTCACAGAAAACAGGAAAATCATTGGATCCGTTTTTGTACTATGCCCCACCTTACAAGCAGGCTGGTGACCCAGAAAAGGGTGCTGTGAAGAGGGACAGTGATTTTATATTCTTTGCTCCCAGAGCAAGAGGAGCAGTAACAGAACTGTGGTAAGGTCCCTTCCTTTCACAGGATCCCTCCACCCGCATGTCACCCCTTCTGTGGGGTGCAATCCAACAGCTCTGGTCTCTAATGTTTTTCAGGATCTTCTGGAAGTGCCCAGAGGCAGTGGTTACTGTAGATAACTACTCTCCCTTAAAGTGAACAGACAGTGCAGTCCATGCACTACTGACGGTATGTCAAAAATAAACCACAGCAGAGACTTCTGCTATTGGCATTGTCTGTTTCTCGTCATCTTTCTTACTGGGCATATGATTTCTGATGAAACTAAAGAATTCAACTCACGATTGCACAGAGGAGGCAAACACATTCAGGACTAGTAATAACTACTGGAGATGTTAAAAAAGCGCAAGGGGATTTACAAAACATACTTGTCTCCTTTACTCTTAGATATGCCAACCAGTTTCTCAATGCCGCCTGCGTCTCGTAAGGCCTTGGCATTCTCCATGTTTTTAGTGATGACTTCATGCAGAGTGCAGCAAATGGCAGTAACGGTGTCATCAGACATGGCCTTGCTTGCTGAGCTGTTGCTGTTGTTAGCGCCTGGCAGTCGGTGGACCAGATCCCTCATGGCATACTTGCCTTTGTTGAAAGAAAATGAAGGGAGAATTCAGAAGATACAGCAATAAAGGGTGATGGAGAAGAAGTACAGGGCAAACATGCGAGACTATTAGCACCACTTCCATCATTGCATGTAATCTAACTGGCTACTGAATCTGTTTGGAGCGAGCCACATTTATACAATTGCATGGTCAAGCATTTCACACATTAGGGACTCTTAATATTTCTATACTGTATCAGTTGGAGACTTTGGATATGGCTACATTATGCCCTTAAGAGAATGAAATGATGATAGCAAAGGACAAGTATATATATAAAGATAACCTTAATATCACAATTTACAGAACTTGGCAAGTCTCATCTCCCACCACCCAAATCATAACTTGTTACTATAAATAAAATGTGCATCAGTTGTTAAAAACACTACAGTGAATGCAAAGCCAATGACACTGTTATTTGTGAAAAAGTCTTCTCTGAAGGACCAGTTTCACTGTACAAGGTCAATTCTATACTACACGCACTAATTTAATTAGGTTTATTAATATTTCTTAGACTTTATCGCTCATAGAGGACACCATCTTTTTCACACATGCTTAGTTGTATGCTTGGTACTGACCAGAAAAAGGAGCTGTTCTGAGATCTATTCCTGTCTGATGTTTAGTAAGGAGTTACTTTATGTAACAATTACCTCCAGAACTTAAAATCTCCTAAAATTAAAGGGAGAATGAATTTTTAAAATGGTCACATTGAACTGAAGACTTGAAAAAGAAATTTTGTTGGTTATGGTTGGACTCGATGGTCTTAAAGGTCTTTTCCAACCTAAATGATTCTATGACAATTATAACTTTTTCATGTTTAAATGAACAAAGGTGTTTGGTTGGTTTTTTTTGCAAAATTGCACCTGAAAGTCAAGTGGTGCTTGTGAAAATAACAAAAGAGCAGCTTCTGAGAATTTCTGTGTGTATATATATATACACACACACATATAGTATCATTGTAAATATATAAATGTAAATATATAAATGTAGGGCAGGGTTACCACTGGCACAGATATATCGAAGCCCCACACAAATTCTAGAGGGTCACTATTACATTAAAATAATTTCCTGGTCCTTCAATGTGATGAAGACAAGATCAGAGAGGGCGAGGGCCTGATAAAGTTGTTGCTGAGGTCAGTGAAACAACTTCAAATCACCTTCAGTGCAGCTGTGCTAGGAATTTGCATACAGCAATCACCATGAGTGTATCATACAGGATGAAAAAGACAGGAAAATTGGGAAAAATAAACATAATTAGTAAACTAATCTACATCACGTTTTATGAATGAAATAACCAGGTGTGATTATTGTATAGAATATGATAATTTAATCACATTTTTTGAAAACTTAAAAAAGTTCTCATCAATTAGTATTTATGAGTACTTATTAAAAATTTTACTTCTGAATTCATAAATTCAGTTGTGTTTGTCCATACTTGAAAGCAGAGGTAAAAGGAAAATCACATCTTTTAAATATCAGAGTTTAAATTATTTTTATTTCTCACAATTTTGCCTGCTGTGGTAGAAATATAGTCAGTCATTTGGAACAGAATATTCTTAATGCAGATAAAAACTAAAATCTCTGTAGTGAAATGTTACAGGTTATCAAGAGATCTTGTGGTAATGTGACGTCTTAGAAACAACTCACTCTATATCATGTAAAACCATCCCTGATTATAAAAAGTACAGCATTACCAATAAAATGTGTGCAGTAGGCTTTGAATCTTAACAGTGTGCTGCAGTACAGACACAAACCTTTTCCTGATACATTTTTATTTCTTTGCACTTAATATTTAATTGGTCATTTGCATTCTTAGCTTTTCAGCAATATTATTCATATCAGCTGTAGTACAGACGTTAACACCACTTCCTCTTTCAGAAATGGTTTGAGCAAACTGAGAATCTGTTTTTCCCCTACACATACATGAAACACGAAAGAGCATGAAATGCTAGTTACATCTGCCTCTGTTCTACGTAACACGAGCACATTAATAGTCGCTTATCACTTACAGTGATTAGTTCAGTCTGTAGCATATAGCGAACTAAGCTTGTGTACGGAAAAAAAAAGTAAACCCATGATTTGCTCCAACTTTTACTCTTCTAATGCAGTGTCTGCCATGGGTCAGGAATAAGTACAAGTAGACAAATCACATCAGTGAGACTTTCAGCTTTACTCTGTACACACATCCAGAACAAATCAATGTTCCTTTTTCCTTTTATACCTCACTTAAAGTGCAACAGAGTATCTCACGACCTCAGTCCTCTGGTAGAACCAGATTACTGTGATCATTCCATTAGCAGTCAAAGACTGCCTCCCTTAGCTCTGAGTATAAGGAAATTTGGATGGGTGCCCCAAGCAGTTTTCCTGGAACTGGCCTAGTATTCCAGGCAGCAGTATTGATACCAGTACACATGCCTAGACACCGAAGATGCTTCTCAGAATAAACAAAGGCTTTGGAGGTATCAGGAAAAGCTCAGTAGGAAAACTAAAATAAACACAATCAAGCATGGTATAGGTATTCTGTACATGTTAATGCTCAACAGTTCTAACATTTCTGCTGTGCACGCTCTTAAGTCAGGCATGAGAAGATCAACTAGGTACTAGATACTTCAAAACCAGGCTTTTTATAGAGAGTATGTTATAGTGGGACAGTACAGCACCCCTTATTCTGAGGGGCCGTAGTAATTCCAGATCAATAATTCTACTCAATTCTTAATAAGTTCCATATTTAAACTAAAATATATTCTGAGTGGTTTTGGTTTTGTTTCTCACAATTGCATCAAACTTAGCCTTTCGATAGAAAGTGCCAGAAGACCCACAGTGCACATTTTGTAGACCTAAAATCTAGTCAGTGTATAGCAGCCATGTCAGCTGTGCAAGCTGGTATCCAGTTTGCATACACCCTGACCAGAACCTGTAACGACAATGCCAGGCCCCTAGTCCTGCCAGGTGCTGCCTGACAGGGAGACAGGCTTCCTCCTCCCTGCTCTGTCCCCAAGGTGCAGCAGAAGCCAGAACTGCCACCTCCAACAGAGCTGCTCACACATGCAGTTGTAGCAGCTGACTGCAGAGACAGGCATTACAGCTCAAACTGGCCTTCAGAGATTCACCAGAACAAGGGGGCACACCAGCTGGAAGAAGAGGGGAGTGGCTGGGCTATGGAGTCAATCTAAGCCACTGTTTATATGGTCATAAAATCTGTCAACAAGTGTAACTGTTAACATATTTTCTGTCGTTTTAGTACTTTGAACTCTTTGTTAGATATTTGAAAATATATTTGGGATGAGAAAACCCCCTGCCTTAGCCATAAAAAACTGTAATTAATTTAATTCAAACCATATGAAATTATATTGAGAAAGCAGTAAATATGCTTTAACAGAGTTAAGTCATGAAAGTTAAAAGTTAAGTACTATTCTTATACTGTAGAAAACATTCCACAGTAACTTGCTTGCAGTCTAAATGTGTTTTCTAAACTCATACATAAAATCAGTTAATAAACTACTGTACTATATTCACAGAAAGAAATAAATCAGTGTCGTGGTTTAAGCCCAGCTGGCAACTTGGAACCACGCAGCCGCTCGCTCACTCCCCCCCTTTTCCTTCCTCCCCCCGCTCCCGGAGGGATGGGGAGGAGAATCGAAGGAATGTCACTCCCACGGATTGAGATAACAGCTCTCCAGTAACTAAGGTATAATACAAACCACTACTGCTACCAATAATAATGATAAGAGGAATAACAAGGGGAGAGGACACAACCGCTCACCACCCGCCGACCGATACCCAGCCCGACCCGAGCAGCGATCTGGGCCTTCCGGGTAACTCCCCCCAGTTTCTATACTGGGCATGACGTGCTGTGGTATGGAATACCCCTTTGGCCAGTTTGGGTCAGGTGTCCTATCTCTGCTTCCTCCCGGCTTCCCCTCCTCTCTGGCAAAGCATGAGACTGAGAAAGTCCTTGGTCAGAGTGAACATTACTTAGCAACAACTAAAAACATCGGTGTTATCAGCATTGTTCCGAGACTGAAAGTCAAAACCACAGCACTGCACCAGCTACTAAGAAGGAGAAAAAAATGACTGATGTAGCTGAACCCAGGACAATCAGTTATCAGTTAACTTCTCATCTCAGTTATGTTCCTGCTGCTTTACAATAGACATGAAGGAAGGAAGACTCGTGTTGTCTAGCATTAGTTATAGAAGAAACTCTTCTCTATTTTGGAGTGATGTAAATGTCGAGTAATGCAAAGGGAAGCACAGCTACTGCCACATCAGCCCAACACAGCTGACAACACATGCAATCCTTGACTTTTGCATTAGTCTATGTTACAACCTGCAGAGTATTTGCCATTAGACTTACTTTTTCGATGTTAACAACCTCTTCTAAAAGGAGACTGAAATGTATAATGAAAACCAGGCTTGTAATGTCAGCAAAGTTTTATACAGTACTACTACTAGGAAGGCTGGGGAATTCAACTTGCAGCTTAAGAAGCCCCCCTGAGCTGAAGAAGTGAGAACTGATGAGGGTCCTGGGAAGAGAGGAGGATGTGTGTGAGAATGATATTTAAAATAAACAGCACTATTAATTTTCATTAGGGTTCACAGAGAACTGCTTTATCCACAAAAACCTGTTTTTTTATTTGATCAACATTACACATTACAAGACTCCAAACCGATTTGATGCCTTTAAATAGGATCTACATAATATGGTTAAATATAACCAGCTTGACAAGGAAAAAAGAAATCATATTTATTTGTTCAATTTCACTCTTAAAGGAAGGAAGACTACAGAGCCACAATTTGGGGGCAGCCTTTGACTATAATATGATAATGTTTGCTTCCTAAACATTTCAACAATGTAGATTTAACAACCTTCCCATGATAAAATCTCATTAGCACCTTAGTACTTAATTCAGGAAACTTTTTCCTTCACAGGATCAAACTGAGAGCTCTGCTAAGAAAGATTCTGTCTTCAGAGCAAATCAGCAG